ATTACCGCCACCCTATCATCACTGCCATTATTCCATCATTACCTCTACCACCCTCCCCACCGCCCCATGATCATCACCACTACCACCATCGTTGTCACCCCACCACCATCATCACCACCCACCATCGATTGAAACCATCGTTGCTCACCGCTGCCACCCACTATTATCGTCATCTCATTCTTATATTTATTACCACTATCACCATCATCTCACTACCACCGTCAGTACCCACCACTACCATTGTTGCCCACCACCACCCACCACTACCCACTTCAACAACCCACAACCACCCGTTGTCTTCCACCATCGTTGTTTTTCACTGTCACCCCACCCTTACTAAACCAACCACCACCACCCATCATCGTCCACCATTGTTGCCACTCATTATCACCCACCCCCACCACCACCGTCATTCGCCATCACCCATCACACTATTGTCCAAAAATACTCGTCGTCACCCACTACCATTATTGCCACCGCCCACCACCACCTCCACTACCATTGTCGTCGCCCGACAACCACAACCACTACCAACCACCATCATCGTCACCCATCACCACCGCTGTCACTCATTGCTACCACTATCACCATTGTCACCCAAAATTAACCACAACTATCACTGTTGCCACTTACGACTGCCACCATCACCATAATCATTGCCACCCACAACAACCTTTATCATCTCCCATCACCACCACTCACCCCCTAATACAATCAGATGTTTAAATTCTTTTTTTTCTCCTCTATGTTTGTAATTTAATTTTGGATATAAATACAAATATGTTTATCGTTTGTGCTTTCAAACACAAGTAATAACTAGTTATAAAATATTATTAAAGATAATAAAAGAAAATAAAGTTTATTAAAATTAAGTCTATATTTTGCTTTTAGGGGAGATATGAATTATAAAAAAATATTCATGCTTCCGATTTTCATTATTATTAATGTTTATTCAATGTTATATGTAAAACCTGGATAAATTTAAAATTTTATGAAAATGGGACAAAATAGTAATTTACCATTACAGTACGGGTTGTAAATCTAAAATTTTTTAAAACTCGGATAATGAACGGACCTCACCGTTGGATTCGTCTTGCGAAATCTAGTTATTCCGTCAAATTTTATCAAATTCCAAGATAGTCGGATTTTTTATGCTTTACGAGGCAGTTGAATCTTGGGTGACCCAGAAACGGAATTTTTAATAAAAATTTGAAAGTCAAAAATTAATTTAAGAAAAATTAAAATAAAAATATTTTAAACTTGAATCGAGATGAAATTTAATCTTTTCGGGACAAAAAGGGACTCAAAAAATAGAGAGCCGTGTGGCGCATTGTGGGCCAAGTGTTCAAGGGGTATAAATATGAAAAAAAATCAGATTTTCTCCCCCATTCTTCGGCCAGTTCCAACGTGAGAGAGGAAGAGAGGGAAAAAGAAAATTTATCCACCTTCTCTCTAAGATCTATGGAGATTGGGTGCTCAAATCTGCTCGGGCCAAGAATAAAAGTCGTTTTTCTTGCCAAGGGCTACGCGACCACAACAAAAATAACGGGTTTCACTGACGTTCCAAAATTGAGTTTGGAGAAATCAAGGTTTTTGGGTGAAATTGAGACTCTTGAAGGCTTCTATTAAGTGAGTTTACGTTTTAAGAGGTAGGGTTCTTTCCTACTTAGGTTTATTTACAACATAAGGTGGTTATATGAAATGTGTATTTTGATAGAAACATATATCATTTACCTATGTTGGTGAAATTGATGAAATGTGTATAAAAATGGTTATATAATGATTTAAAATAAATTCCTAACATGAAATTGGTATGTGGTAATTACTTGTGTAATTCCATGAAAATTTGGTGTTATATGAGCATGTTATGTGTTTATTTTGTGCTTTGGAAATTAAGTGTGTTATTAGCGTATGTTATGTGATAACATGTTTGTAAATTGTTGTTGAAAGGAAATGTTGATATATGTTCATTGACATATGAGCATTATGTTAAAGTTGGTGATTATATGCATAAGATATAATTGGGCCATGAAACATGTGTATGTGTGAGGTTAAACTTGCTCATGTGATATTCTTTACATATGGGCATAATATTGAAATGGTCATGGAGCATTACATTGCATTTGCATGAAGAAATCGCATCCATAGCCATGTGTGTGGATGTGTGTGTGTGCATGGTGGGCTCGAAAAAGTTGGATCGAAGATCCGACTGAGTCGCACAGTTGTGTGGATAAAGAATTAGGTCGGGGTCAGTAAGAAGGGCTAGACTATCCCTCGGGTGAGAAACCCGGTGATTGGAGATACACTCCGTTGGTATAAGAGTCTATAAAGTGTGTCGGTGTACACGGAGCCGTTGGTGGAAGTCCATAAATTCTGTGTCAGTTAGGTGCCGTTGGTGTAAGTTCATAAATATCCATCACAGGAAAAGACCCGGAGATTTTTAAATAGTCATTGGGTTTGTAGCGCCAATAGCGGGGCTTGGAAAGCCAGTTCTAATTACTCATGGCATTGAATGAGAGAAAAGGAGCCAAGGAAGGCTCGGGTTGGGTTGAATGAGTGAGTCTCAACTCATTTCATTACATGACATTATTAAGATTCCAACATTGAATATATATTCTTGTTTGAAATGTTGTTGATTGTAAAGTGTTGTATGAACATTCATATGCATTTAGATTAGGGAATAGCCTTGGTAGGAAATACTCTATTGGGAGTGGCTCACCCTATACGGGAACACATTTTAGGTGCGGGGTTTGTACTGGCGGAGGACTCTCATTCGGGACCTCTAAGATGAAGAAAAGACCGATTTGTGGCCTTGAATCTATTTTTGTAAAATCATTGTATAAATTTGGTGAAAAGTATATTTTGGGTTTGTAATCATATGAAATTAATTGTAATAAACTTTGTATATATTAGGCTTTGTGTGAAAAACCTTATTAAGCATGTTTTGGATGGTGTTAGAATGGATTGAAAAATGAAAAACAGGTGAAACAGACATTTCTGGACAAAACCTATCGATAGGTCCATAAAAACCTATTGGTAGATCTTGTACGAATAGAGGTTGTCATAGACAAAACCTACCGGTAAGTTACCGATAGAACTTTTCTGGTAGGTTAACCTAATGGTAGGTTACTGATAGAACTTTTTCGGTAGGTCAACCTACTGGTAGGTTACCGATAGAACTTTTTCGGTAGGTCAAATCTACCGGTAGGTTGCCGGTAGAACTTTTCCATAGGTCAAAATCGATAGATTTTTCAAAAATCTGAAATTTTAAGAATGCTTGGCTAGACTTTTGGGCTAAGTGTCCTTGCATTCAACTGATATAAATGGATTATAACTGAGGTATATTGGACCTAGGTTGGGTTAAAGGGTAAAATATACATGGGTTACACTTGTGGATAATAAATCCCGGTTAAGGAGATGTTATTAACGTAGTGTCGGGTTGTGCGACAATCACAGATATTTCTGCAAGTTGACGGGTGGTCAACGGTTGAAAAAGGACTCTGATTTTAGGGGCGTCACATTAAATACATATTTCTCATATCTCATTAACATGTTTATGTAAAATAAAATACACTAAAAATCATTAAACACTCATATTTGTATTATTTTATAGTTGAAACATATAAATATTTATGTTTTATAAGTATTGTGAGTCGAAAAAAAAAATTCATGTCTCCGGTTTTTGTTACTGTTACGTAACGTTCGTTTCACCCCACATTTATTACACCGTTACCGTTACCGTTACGACAGCCGTTACCGTTACTTAGAATCTGCTATCTCTCTCTCTCCCTGCTATCTCTCCCTCACTCTCTGCTATCTCTCACCCTCTCTCTTTCTCTTCTATCCCTCGCGCTCTCTCTCTGTGTGTTTTATGATCGAGGTCGACAAAGCAAAGGTGGAGTTAATTTCAATATATTGTGGTCTCCCTTATATGCAAGATCAGTGGTGGTTTATGCTTATTTTTGTACCAATTCCATATGATTTTTGGACATGACCATCTGTTTTTTAAATCACTGGAGAGTTGCTTTGGAGCATATCCTGTAGGAACATTGTGTCACCCCTTTCATTTGTGTGAAGCAACCAAGTGAATGAAATATATTGACTCTTCTCTATTTATCCTGCAGGACTACTTCCATATAACGAAACTTGAAGATGATTGCTGGTGCATTTTACATCCCAAAGGACAACAAGCTGAAGCCTCTAGGGAAGGATGCTCACTTCATTTGTGCAAAGGAGCAGACAATTGGTGTTGCAGATGGTGTCGATGGCTGGACAAGAAAGGGTATGGATGCAGGCGAATATGCCCAAGAACTCATGAATAATGCTGTCTGTGCAGTTGAAGATCAACCTGAGAGTTCTGTTGATCTGAAGATGGTCATAAATGAAGCTTTCTTAAACATCGAGGCTAGAGGATCATCAACCGCGTGCATTCTCACACTTAAAGGTGACTGCTTGCACGCTGTGAATGTAGGAGGCAGTGGATTCCTGGTAATCAGAGGGGAAAAATCATATATCAGTCACCAGTGCAACAACATAGATTTGATTGTCCCTATCAGTTGGAAAACACAGCTGATAGTCCAAGTTTAGCAGAGGAGTTTTAAGTTGTAGTAGAAGCCGGGGATATTATAATTGCTGGAACTGATGGATTGTTTGATAACTTGCATCCCGCAGAGATTGAGGATATAGTTAGCCTGTGTTTGAGACAAGGTAACATGCCAGAGCTATTAGCTTGGACCATGTCAGAGGTCGCTCGGGTAAAATCTCTAGAAGAATGGACTGATAGTCCATTTGCAATGGCCACCCACGATGCAGGAGTCAGTTGACCACATGGGAGGCAAATATGATGATGTTACAGTGGTTGCCGCCTACATTCTTTCTGCAGAGTGGTTCTAGCATGTAATTTTCTCACGTGCTTACAATTGGAAAAGCATAAACTTGAAACTAATAGAAAACAATCTAATGTTAGAGGAATCTTGAATAGGGGGCTTGTATTGGAGTTAGAGAGAGAAACTCCTGCTTCTCTCTAGGTTTTTCATTTCTTATTCATTTCTTCTTTAATATTCTTCGTTTTTCTTGGATTAGATCTGATTTCTTTTGGAATTTCTTGCTCTAATCTTCATTCTTTTCCAGTATGACTACAGATCAGAGACTGATTCCACCAAAGCCTCCTGATATCGTTAGAAATTTTGCTTCCCTTTTTAAAAACCCTTTAAGTTCTTCAGAACCTTTTGGGTTGGGTAATCCATCTGAGATGCTTGCAGGTCCTTCTAATTCTTCTAAGGAACGTGGAGATATTTCTAGTATGCCCCCTGTTTCGTTTGATCCAGTGAAACCAGCGAAGAGAGTTGTCTTCAACAACGGAGAACCAGGTATGTACTGGTCTCCCGATGAAACTCTTGAGCTCTCTAAGGGTTTCAGCCAGACCTTAATCGGTAAATGTGCGTATGGTAAGCCGTCATTGGGGGTAATAAGGGAGTTTATCACTTCTCGGTGGCTTCCTAAGGGTGATTTCTATGTAGGAATTCTAGATCCCAGACATATCCTTATTAGATTTGCCCTATATGAGGATTATGTTAAGACATGGATGAAGGATGCAAAGTAAAGGGTTTTCTGTTTAGATTTTTCAAATGGTTCCCGGAGTTTATGCCTGGGATTGAGCCCCTGTAGCACCGGTTTGGGTTTCATTACTTAGTCTTCCAATTCACTTGTTTAATAGGGAGAGCCTAAGGGATGTTTTGAGCCCTGTTGGGCGTATCTTGGTAATTGATAACTCTACTTTGCAGTTAACAAGACCTGGATGTGCTCGAGTATGTGTTGAGGTCAATTTGCTGGTAAACAATCCCAGACGCTTTTGGCTTGATATGGGAGGTTCAAGTGGTAGGTGGCAGCGACAAGTATATGAAAAGGATGTGAGATTCTGTTCTGTGTGTTTGAAGCAGGGTCATGATGACTCTCTTTGTTGCAAAAAGGGTAAGGAGAAGGAGAGTGTTAATGTTGGGAGGGTGGAAGTTCCTTTGGGTCTGAGGGAAAAGGAGAAAGGTAAGAAGCCTATGTCTGGGAATGAGTCTGATATTTTTGTGAAGGCTAAGTCGATTTCCATGGCTCAAAATACAAGTAAGCAGTTGAAGGATTTCAAAAAGAAAGAGGTGGAACAGACTAATAAATTCTCTGTTTTGAATATGGTGGAGGAGGAAGGACCTGTTATGGGGGATAATTTTGTTTCTGTAGATGGGGAGAGGTTATCTAAATTTGCTGAGTTGAATGTGGAGAAGCAGGGGATTTCTGCTGGTGAAGGTGTGGTTTTTACTGTTGATCCAATTCATGTTGCAGAGGAAGTTATTGGTGAGATTTTAGATGGAATTGCAGAGAAGGTTGTTGAGGGTGGAAATTTGTTGAGTCCAGACCAGTCTGTTGGTGGAGTTGGTTTTGGGGAACTACAGTCTATTCCTTTGGGACCAGTAACTCAAAGGGATCAGACTGGTTCTTTGGATAGTGCTCAGGGTATAAATAGGGGTTTGGATCCAGTATGTGATTTGAATGTGGGAGATGGACAGAGAAGCTTGCAAAAAGGTGATTCTGGGAATGTGGATGGGAGTAATGAACATTGTGGTTTTAATAAGCAGTTTTCTTCCTTTTATCTGGAGCGTTTTGCTGGTAAAAGTGGTGCTTCTGTCTCTATTGACGATGAGAGAGGATTAATTAGACATCGAGAACCTCCAGACAAGGGGTACTATTCTGATACAGGAAGTACGATGAAGAGTAAGGAATTAATGGGTAGAGTTGTGATGGATAGTGAGGATTCAGACTCAGATTCAGCCTCTGTGGAATTTTCTTCTGCAGAAGTGGAGATGAGGATGGAAACAAGGGGTACAGCTATTGCTTCTCTTCATGATTGATTAGTTAATCTGGGAGATGCAAGGGATAGGACATTGTGGTTTCTCTCTTCTTATGCTGGAGTTGTGGTCTTCAGGCTTTCAGTCAGTGATACTCTTTGTTTTTCCTTATGGTTAATGTTTTGATTTGGAATATGAGAGGGATAGGCAAGTTGGTCAAGAGAAGACATTTAAAGAAATTAATCAGGATTCATGGGATTTCTTTGGCTGCTATTTTAGAGCCTAAAGTTGGTCGCGATAAAATTCAAGGTTTTGCTTCTAGTTTAAATATGCCTCATTTTGCTGTCAACAGTATGGCTGAGAAGAATATTTGGATCGTATGGGATGATAGATTGGAGGTGAAGACTGTGTTTGAACATCCTCAAGTAATTACGGTGGAGGTGTCTTATTTAAGGTCTAAGGCTGTCTTGGTTTCTTTGGTTTAAGCATGCTGTGATAGTGTTCTTAGAAGGTCTCTATGGGAGCATTTGTTGGAATTAAATGTTCCTTCAGATGTTCCATGGATGGTTGGTGGTGATTTTAATACTGTTTTATGCTCTGAGGAGAGGCTGGGAGGTTCTCCCCCTTCGTCTGTGGCAATGGGTGATTTCAATGATTTTATGTTGGGTGCGGGCTTGATGGATGCTGGTTTTATGGGGAGTAGATTCACGTGGTGTAACAACTGCCAGGGAAATGCTAGAATGTGGCAACGTATTGATAGAGTTCTTTTGAATTCTGTCCGGAGTAGTGTGCTGGGTAGGACTGAGATTTTGCATTTGGCCAGGGGAAGATCTGACCATTCTCCTTTGGTGGTTAAAGTGGAGGGTGATCAAAATCAAAGAATTTCATATTTTAAGTTTCTAAATGTGTGGCTTGAGGATGAGGGGTTTCTCTCTTTGGTATGATCAAAGTGGGAGGGCTGTTACTCCAATAATCCAATTGAGAATATTTTTCTTAAATTAAAATATCTTAAAAGTCATTTGAAAAAATGGAATATAGAGGTTTTTGGGAATATCTTTGAGAAGATTAAAGTGAAAGAGCTTGAATTGTCATTTGTCGAGGTTGAATTGGAACAGTTGGCATCTGAAGAAAATATTCGAAAGCTTGAGAAGGTGCAGAGTGATCTGGATTTTGTTTTAAGACTTGAAGAGTTATACTGGAGGCAGAAGGCTAACTTGAGATGGGCAGTTGAAGGGGAGAGAAACACAAGGTTCTATCATGCCTTAGCTAAAAGCAGATATACGAGGAATAGAGTTTATAGAATTCAAAATGCTGCTGGTTTATGGGTGCAGTCTGAGGAAGAAATTGGGGTGGTTGCTGAAGATTTTTATTCTTCCCTGTATAATTAAGAATTTCATCAGTTAGATGAAGAACTATTTTCTGTTATTCCTAAGTTGATCACTGATGAAAAGAATGCTGATCTTGTAAAGAGTGCTTCTGTTGAGGAGGTGAGCCAAGTGGTCTTTTCCATGTCTAAATACAGTGCTCCTGGAGTGGATGGCTTTTCTGGTGGTTTTTTTCAGGGAGCTTGGGGTATTGTGGGTGATGATTTGGTTACGGCAGTTAATTTTTTCTTGAGAGGGGGAAGTATGCCCAAATCGGTTAATGCTACTTTACTCACATTAATCCCTAAGAAGGTGAACCCTGCTACATTTGCTGATTTTCGTTTTGTGCAATTTTTTATACAAAATGTTCACAAAATTAATGACTACTAGACTTTCTGTCTTATTGCCTGGGTTAATTTCTCCTCAACAACATGGTTTTGTAAAGGGAAGAAATAGTGGTGAATGTGTTTCTTTAGCCCAGTTGATGGTGGGGGATTTGAATAGGAGAGTGGAAGCAGGAAATGTAATGTTGAAATTGGACATGATGAAGGCTTACGATAGATTGGAATGGGACTTTTTGCTCAAAGTTCTTGATAAATTTGGTTTTTCTTCTCTGTTTGTTCAGATTATATATAACTGCTTGGAAAATCAATTTTTTTCGGTGAATGTAAATGGTGTAAGGAGGGGTTTTTTTCGTTCTTCTAGGGGTTAAGACAGGGAGATCCTTTGTCTCCCTGTCTTTTTATCTTAGCTGAAGAAGTTTTAAGTAGGGGATTGAGTAAGATTTTTCGGCAGGGGTTGGTTAGACATTTTCATTTGGGGAGAGGTGCTTTATTAGTGAGCCATCTTCTCTTTGCTGATGATACACTAATTTTTTTGAGAGGGGATAAGAGGTCATTGAAGAATCTTATGGGGTTTTTAAAGACGTATGAAGACAGTTCTGGACAGAGAGTGAGTTTGACAAAGAGCTCTATGTATTGTTCAAAGTATATTTCAGTTGAAAGAAGGCATGTCTTGTCTGGGTTGGCTGGGATCCCTGTCAAGGATTGCCCCCTGACTTACCTGGGTTGTCCTGTGATCCAGGGGAGGATGAGGGTTCGATATTTTGATGAGGTTATTGCTCAGTTTAGGCGAAGGTTGGAGGGTTGGTATACGAAATTGATGTCTAGCATGGGTAGAGTATTGATGGTTCAGTATGTACTATGTGCTGTTCCTATGCATTTATTGGCCTGTATGAATTTGCCCAAGACTGTTTTTGCTAGACTTAATTCATTAATGGCTGGGTTTGTTTGGTCTGGTAGATTGAATATAAAGAGAAGGCATTGGGTGTCGTGGAGTAAAATTACTTTGCCAAAACAAGAGGGAGGCTTGGGTCTATGAAAGTTTGAAGAAGTTCAATCTGCTTTTAGAATGAAACAACTCTGGAATTTGATGCTGGGAACTTCTTTGTGGGCTAAAGTGTTTGAGTCAAAATTTTTGAAGGGGAGGAAGTTGCTTAGGTGTTTGGGGAAGTCGCATTCTGCTGCTTTTGAGTTAATACGTCCTTACTTTGAAAAGGTGATTGTTGGGTCTAAAATGTTAGTCGGGAATGGGGAAGCTGCTGATTTCTTTTGTGATAATTGGATTGGCAGTGGGGCTTTATTATCTAGAATGGAAATTATGCCTTCCTTTTTTCCCAAAATTGCTGATCTATTATGTGAGAATCGATGGTGTTTAAATGATGTGGAGGAGTCGTTGATGATGAATCTAAGAGATGATGTGATAAATTCAGGAATTTGTTTGTCTGAGTCTGTAGATAGAATTGTTTGGCAGTATACTTTAACTGGGGAATTTTCTGTGAAGTCTGCTTGGAATTTCAATAGGAGGCAGGGTTTGGTTGATGAGATTTCTTCACTTATTTGGAAAACTAGAACTGCACCTAGCGCCCAGTTGATTGGATGGAAAATTGTGAAGAAGGCTCTGCCTTTGGATTCCAATGTTCGCAGAATTGGGATTGCTGTGGTGAGTAGATGTTGTTTGTGCTTTAATGATGTGGAGACTGAAGATCATTTGTTTGTGGATTGCCAGTATGCAAGAGTCATATGGTCTAAGTTAGCTGCTGTGGGTGGGTTTCAATTGTCCATGGGGAGGGTTCTTTGGTGAGGTTTCGAAGGTTGTGCAGAGTTTTTAAAAAGCAGTTTTTCAGTCATGGTTTGATTTGAAGTCTTGCTTTGATTGTTTACTGGCAGTTGTGGAAGGAAAGATGCAGGAGAGTTGCTGGGGAGGGAAAGCTGGTTTCTTATCTATTTTTATGAGAATTTGTAGTATTCTTAGATACCAAGCAAGAAACATTAAGCCTAAAGCTTTGGATGGTCCGAATGGTTCTGCTTTGTTAAAGTTTTTACAAGTTGATTTCTCATGTAATGTTCAGTTGAAATGCATCTGGGTGAAGTGGTTATGTCCTACTGCTGGTATGTTGAAACTCAACACTGATGGAGCTTCTAGAAATAATCCAGGAGTTGCAGGAGGAGGAGCTGTTGTGACAAATGAGTGGGGGGAAATTGTTTTGGCAGCGTCCTTTTATTATGGGGAGTGTTCAAACATGACTGCCGAATTTCGAGCCCTGGCTGATGGTTTAAAGCTGGTTTTGGATTATGGGTTGTCTTGCTATAGCTTGGAGATTGAATGCGATTCCTTTTTTGGGTAAACTCTGTTCTGGGTGTTTTTGCTTGTCCCTGGTTTTGCCTGGGCTATTTGAGGCTTATTAAAGATTATTTGGGACGGTTGGAGTTTCGCCTGGTGCATATTTTTCGGGAAGCAAATGGAGTAGCTGATAGACTTGCTGGACATGTTGTTAAGGACAGAAATTCTGTGGATTTTTCGGTAGGATTGTAGCTGTCTTGTGAGGTTTCTTTGGCTCTTCGGTCTGATCAGCAGGGATTACCTGTACTGCGAAAAAAAAAAAGAGAGTTGTTTTTGATGATAAGGGCTAAAATAAATTATATAGTTTTTGCTGTGTTTATTGGTTTGAAAGTTGTAGAAGGGAGGAGCTTCTATCTTGAAGGTTTTTGTTTTGTGATGGAAATACTACTGTTGTTGCCTTGCTGGTTTTTAGCAAAAGTGTTGCTGCTGAAGTTTTTTGGAGGTTGCCGCTGGAGCTTCTTTGGTTGGAGTTTTTTTGAAGTTTTGTTTCTTGTCATGGAAAGGCGTGTGTGCCTTATCTTTTGCTTCTTGTAAATGGTTTGGCACTTTGTGATTAAATAAAATTTTATTTTTTGGAAAAAAAAAGAAAAAAAATCTAATGTTAAAGCTCTACAATATACAAGTTCAGCTTTTTGTGTTGTGTTCATTGATTCCTGTTATTGGTTTAATCTGCTGGTTTATCTTCCATGAAGTTGCAATCTATGATGTGCAAGTTCTTTGTGTTTAAAGACAAATTGGGAGGAAATGAGAGCAGACACCCAAGAGCTGGACTGGGGATCCTACTTGAAAGAGACCCCCAGACTCGCATAAGAATTGAGTAAACCCCCAGACGTAGTGTAGCCGTTATCCCAATATTTTTTCCAATATACAATGGCGAGGCTTTCAAGTTAAAAAAGATTATAACAGCACAAGGTTCAAGTACGAAAGTAACTAAAATTCGGGTGAGTATCTCTCTCTTTTTCACATTCTATTTTTTGGTTTTTTTAAAATCAAATTCTTTCACATTAATATTATTTATGCCTTGGAACTTATCATATATAACAAACTATATATATTTTTTATTCAATATATTGTTTTCAACTTGGTCAACTTAAAAATTGTTTTATGTTTTGGCTTTTTTAATATATAATTTGACGCTCTTTTAATAAATTAGACATATTTAGATTTGTATTGAGTTTGTTCAAATTTTCTCTTTTCTCACCCCATTTAATCTTCTTATTTCAAACTACTAAGTTCATCTCATATGTATCTACCCCATTAGTTACTAAGTTCACCCCATTTATATCTATTCAATTAAATTATAAAATATATGTCAAAGAAACAAAAATAAAAATAGTAATAGAAGTGAAATTTTAATGTTCTGAGGTGATTTATATTATTTTGAGGTGTTTTAAGAGATTTTGATATACTTTCACTAATGTCTTTGAAATATTTTGAGGTGTTCTGAGAGATTTTAATATATTTCGACTAATATCGTAAAAATAATTATTAATTTTTATTATGTTCCTAAAATATTTTCGTACCAAAATAATACATTAAAACAAAATTTTAATCATTGCCTATATAGTAGTTGAAATAAAATTAAAATGAATTGAGTTTTTAATTAATAAATATACATGGGGTGTGTTTAATAACTAATGAGGTNCTGATATAAATGGATTATAACTGAGGTATATTGGACCTAG